AACAGTGTAAATATATTCTGAACAAAATAATAAATTTATTAAAAAAATTTAATATTAATTTTAGATCATCTATATTAAATTTAAACTGTCAGATTAGTAAATATTTTATTAATTTTTTTACAATTTTTATATATTTTTTATTCTAAAAATATAAATAAAAATAGAATTATTAAATTTAAACCAGCTAGATTTTTCTCTACCTCAAAGGAGAGGCAAAGGAGGCTTCTCTCCGCGAGAGAAGCCCACTCCACTCTCTAATATCTCCTTAATTTTACATTTGAAAAAATCTATATCTATCTATCTATCTATATTTCTATATTGTAAAGCATAATGTTAAAGCAATGTAGATTTACAGTGCTTTGAACACTGCTTTTCTTTTCTTTTTTTTTTACCCTAAACTTTTTAAAAAAATTTAATTAATGAATGATTTTGTTAAAAAAATTATGGATATTGGACCCATAGTAAAAAAGTGAGTGCAAGATCTATTATTAAAAAAAATGTGAGTGTGAGATCTATATTTTATATATTTACGTTAAAAATTTAAATTATTAATTTACGCCTATAATCTATTTGTCAATCCTCAAGCTTTCTAATTTGAGGAACTTAAAACAATTTTTGGCCAAAACAAAACATTTAAACAATTAAGTATGACAATAATTAAAAATATTTTATGAAAATTATAAAAATTTAAATAAATATAAACATCAATTATTGACTAATCTATCTTCTATTTCATTAATTTTTTCACATATGTGTTTGAAATATTATTTTAACAAATTTACTCTCTTTGTTAAAAAATATAAAGTATTTTTTAAGGTATTAAATGTTCAAAAATATAAAATATTTTTAGTGTTTTAAGGTGTAATCATTAATTTTTTTTAAATGTGACTCTAATGAATAAATTACTTTTATATTTATTTAGAGTAAAAATCTTATTAAATAATGTTAAATATGAAAAACATGGTTTCAATTTAAAAATAAATAACTACTTTATTGAGATAAGATTTAGTTAAAATACTTTAAATTTTGAAAGGGATTAGTATGCATTTATCTTAAAAATATTAATAAATTAGTTTGTACAAGTACTAAATTTAAAACATGAATAAAAATTTAAAAAAATATAGGAAAAATGATAAATAAGTACTTTGTAAGAATATAATATTAAAATCAGGATTTTTCAACACTGACATTTCCAAATTTTAGTATTCCTTTTAGCAAATTTCAATACAAAAATTTTTTAATTTGACATCAATATTCTTAGAAAGTCCTTTCTTATCATTCTCCCAAGAATATATCAAGAATGATATTTTAGTCCAATATATGTAACTTAACCGTTAACTAATGGTTGGATGAATGAAAATAAAAACTTAAAAGTAAAAGGCAGTTTGTATTTTGTAACTTTTAATTATTAATTTTAAGAGAGATTTGTATAGATTTTAAAAATAAAAAAATATTTTTAATTAAAAGAAAAATAGAGAAAAAAGCAATATGTTTTATTTTAAGGATACTAAATAATTTTAATATTTATTTATTTTTATTTTTTAAAACTAAAATGCAGATGGCACCGGTATAAATCTAGTTACAATGAACCTATGAAAAATACTTAGGTAGACTGAGTGTATCACATCATTGTGATTTATCCAATAAAAATATGATATTTAGATAACATTAAATAAATTGATTGATATTAATGATAGTAGAGAGGGAAAAGACAAAAAACTAAATGTGCATTTTATTATAAAAATAAAATCAATAAAAAAAATATCAAACAAATTTTATTTAAATTATTTAAAATATTTTTATTGAATAGATTACAAATAATGTAATGCATCCAGTCTATTTAAACATTTCTCATACACCTATGTTATATGCAATGATTAAGCATAATACATACACACATGCTTGCAACTTACAAGTGTGCGTGCGTTTGTGCGTGATGTCAAAATATGAATTGTTTTGAATGACTGTTAATAAGAAAACAAAAAAAGAAGAAGAAGAGTGGATTAAAACTTTTGAAAAATATTAATTGCCATTGTTTTTTAATTATATTAAATATATGTACATATATGTTCTTGAAATGTTTTATTCCTAATTTCTCTGAAAAAGTAACTTACTAAATAAAACCTAGATAAGTTTTAAATTAATTTCTTATTTTTTGTAATTTAGTCATGTTCAACATCATCGAATATCTTAATTTATATTAATAAATAAGTAATTTGTCTTCAATGTTAAAATAATATATTTTTAAAAAAAAATCAATTTCCTGGAGATAAAAAATGCTGTTAGACAAATTAAAAAAAAAACCTGAACTTGAATATAAGTTTGATTAATTAAATCAAGAATTATATGATTAAAAAAATGTGATGAGAATTGCAATGCTAAACTTTGTTAGTGAAATTCAAAATTCCTTGAAGCTATAACGTAAAATAGAAGGATTAATTATATTGCAAATAATAGTATCCATTTTCAGTATATCCATTAACATTAAAATGTTATCATTGCTTTTTAATTTTTTAATAAAAATGTACTATATTAGTTCTATATTAATGTTGTTGTTTATAATATTAAAAGTGACTTATTTTATGAAGAAATAATTAATAATCCTGAGATTGTTAATTAGAGGTACAACAACCCCAAGTCCAGTATATCGTCCTGCGCGTTCAGGCTGATAACATGCCCGTCCTTCATACATGCCCGAATTCATTATCACTTGGCTATGACATGTGGCACTTGTCAGCAGTCACGATTCAAAGAAAAGATTAATTAATACCATGCATAGTATGTAGTTACTCCAGCCTCTACGAGCCAACCGTTATCCCCACAACTACATTGGGAGAGGAGACTCTTCTTTCTTTCTTTTTTTTTTTTTATTTGTCTCCACTTCTTCCATTCTATCTTTTATATTATTTTATTAAATAATTTTTTAAAAATAAAATTAATGAATTATTAAATAATTTTTTAAAGATAAAATTAATGAAAGGTGGAGATGGAAAAAGTGAAGAGAAAATGAGAGAAAAGAAAAGGAGAGTCCCTCTTCCCTGACTATATTAGTGTAATGAATATAGGCTATGGAGTATGGTATTATCAAAGGTTATTGATCGTGTAAACCTTAAACCATTATACGAATAATAACTTAATTCAAAAATTTTGAAATATGCAAAAATAATAATTTTTAAATTTTGAGTATCTAAAATCTCGCCATTACTTTAAAGTCATGGGGACTCCATTTGTACACTGATGTGACACACTCATATTGATAATTAAAAAATAATGGTTATTTTTTCAATTTAATGGTGAGGTTTATATGTTCAAAATTGAAATTAATAGGATTTTTTTTTTCATATTTCAAGAGTTCAAGGTTTAGGATGCCAACCCTATTATTAATACACAATTCAAAGAAATAATTAGATTATGATAATTTGTAGTATATGAATTATAATATATACTCCTTTTTTATAGAATAAATATATATTCTTTAATTTCAATATACTCCGTAGTAAAAATAATCAAGAAAAAAATTTTAAAATTCTCAAACTTATAAAAATAATAATTTTCTAACTTTAGTTTTATTATAAACCATACATATTATAATAACATACTCTCTCTCTCTCTCTCTCTCTCTCCAACATTTAATAAAATTAAAAGCAAAAATTATAATCATGATTGGAAAAATCATTTCTATCCGTCTCATTAACATGATAGAAGGGAGTAATCTCTTCTGTCCTTATATAAAAAATTTCTAAAAAAAAGTGATAGTCCTAATATTAACACTTGGGGGTGTATTAATTACATTTTCTAATATTATTCTATTTAAATTCATTAATTATGAGAGGGAATATAATGTAAATTAAATTTTTTTATTTAAATATAAGTGAAATTAGAAGGTATTCTTTAATTTCTAGACAAGGCTAGTTAATGATTTAATCATCTTTTCCTTCATTTCAATAAGCTAGTTAGAGGTGCCATATATATTTACATTAAACTTATACTAAAATTGGTTTAAACACGCGGTGGCAATTCCAAAATATATGATTAAATTAAATAAGATATAATTATTATAACTATGAGGGTGGACTGCTCCAGTATAACGCACCTTCTCTGCTTTAATTTGCTTTAAATGCCTCTCCACACCCACATGAATACTCACTACAACTATAATAGTTTAAGCTAAGATGAAGGAGATGATGATCAGCAACATCAAGTTACAACGTTTTTGGTTTAGTCTGTGTCAATACGTGTCTTTTCTGGCCAAAACATTCTTCTTCTTGGTACATGTCTATATCGCCATATCCTCTTAGGGACACCATTATGGATTCAAAAGGCTATTTCATGTCTCTTTCCTTTCTGGGTTTCTGTCTTCTGAAACTAATCGAACCCAGAATTACAACCATTCTTCTTCAAGAACAAATATAGTGGCCTGGACTTGTTGTTCACCTCTGTGTCTGCCTCCACCGTGTCAAGCATGTCCACTGTTGAAATGGAGGTTTTCTCTAACCCTCAGCTCATCGTCATGATTGAAAAAATTTTCACCTCCATGATAGGTCTCTTCTTCCTTATTATAAAAACCAAAAAAGTATAGTCTTGTATAAACACTTGTTATTATTACATTTTTTAATATTATTCTATTAAATTCATTAATTATGAGAGGGAATATAATGTAAATTTAAATTTTTTTATTTAAATATAAGTGAAATTAGAAGTGTATTCTTTAATTTTCTAGACAAGGCTAGTTAATGATTTAATCATCTTTCCTCATTTCAATAAGCTAGTTAGAGGTGCCATATATATTTACATTAACTTATACTAAAATTGGTTAAACACGCGGTGGCAATTCTAAATATATGATTAATTAAATAAGATATAATTATTATAACTATGAGGGTGGACTGCTCCAAGTATACACGCACCTTCTCTGCTTTAATTTGCTTTAATGCCTCTCCACACCCACATGAATACTCACTACAACTATAATAGTTTAAGCTAAGATGAAGGAATGATGATCAGCAACATCAAGTTACAACGTTTTTGGTTTAGTCTGTGTCAATACGTGTCTTTTCTGGCCAAAACATTCTTCTTCTTAGTTACATGTCTATATCGCCATATCCTTCTTAGGGTACACCCATTATGGATTCAAATAGGCTATTTCATGTCTCTTTCCTTTCTGGGTTTCTGTCTTCTGAAACTAATCGAACCCAGAAATTACAACCATTCTTCTTCAAGAACAAATATTAGTGGCCTGGACTTGTTGTTCACCTCTGTGTCTGCCTCCACCGTGTCAAGCATGTCCACTGTTGAAATGGAGGTTTTCTCTAACCCTCAGCTCATCGTCATGATCATGTTAATGTTACTGGGAGGTGAATTGTTCACCTCCATGATCGGTCTCTTCTTCATCAGATTGAAGCTCAAAACCCACCAAGACAAAGTAGCTACGTCTTCTGTTAGTATCCCCACAGTTACTTCCATTCTTGATCCATTTGAGTTGGAGATGGTGGAAGCAGCAGCAACATCTGATCATAATAATAATAATCCACATAACATGAAGGAACAACCTGAAAGTGACGAGTCATCATCTGTAGCAGGCCATGGAGGATATTTAGGTTACAACTCAATCAAATACCTAGGTTTTGTCGTCTTGGGTTATCAAGTAGTTGTCCAAGTCGTGGGCATAACAATGGTGTCTGTTTACCTGTCCACCGTTTCTAGCGCTAAACAAGTTTTGAAGAACAAGGGATTGGAGCTGTTCACGTTCTCTGTCTTCACGGTGGTTTCTACATTCGCAAGCTGTGGATTCGTTCCAACGAACGAAAACATGATTGTTTTTGCCAAGAATTCTGGTCTGTTGATGATGCTGATTCCTCAGGTGCTACTGGGGAACACGTTGTATCCTTGTTGCTTGAGATTCTCGATCTGGGTTTTGGGGAAATTTGTGAAGAAAGAGGAAAGCGAGTACCTTGGGAAGAACTCGCACGAGGTTGGGTACAAACACTTGCTTACGAGGGAGCATTCGAGGTTTCTGTTAGTTACAGTTATGGGGTTTATCGTTGTGCAGTTCATAGTGTTCTGTTCGTTGGATTGGAGTTCGGTAGCACTGGAGGGACTGAGCGGGTACGAGAAAGTGATTGGGATAATGTTCCAAAGCGTGAATTCCAGACATACAGGCGAGACAATTGTGGATCTCTCCGTCATATCCCCTGCCATCTTGGTGCTGTTCGTGGTCATGATGTTAGTATCTCTCCCCCCCTCCTTCTCTCTATCTACATGTTTGCTACGCCTAAATAATGATCTTTAAATATAATAGTCAATCATTAAGTTTGCTGAATTCTTGGGGCATAGAAAGAGAAATCACTACCAACAAGCGCTTGGTTCAACCAGAAAGAAAAGTATACTCGTTTAACAAGAGGTTTTGAATGTTTTAAGTCCTGAAAATGCAACAGGATTTAGTGATAGAGCTAGCTTCCACCCAAAAAAGTTTCAACCCTTCTCAATCCAAATTAGTTGGAGAGCTTTGGCTTCGGACACCGGATAGTTTACCACAAAGAAAGGGGAAATCACTCATGATTGTAGGCAGGTGGATGAAACAAGAAAATTAAAACCTGCCCTTGTGAGGGTGGGGCAGGAGAGAACCATCTCCCTTCATGATTCTGGTTCTTTATTCAATTAGTGTTATAAAAAAGGTAGACATACATGAAATGGGTGGGTTGTCTCTCATGTTAGGTGAGTCTATCAATATAATTTATGAGTTCAGTATTTTCTTTTTTTGGTGACACTGTATGCCATTTAGGTGGTGTTGCATGTGGACCATATCATGTTGTTAATTAGTATCTCTTTCTTCATATATCTCTTTATATGTACACACTCGATCTTAAATCTAACAGTCAATATATTGTTAAGTTCGATAAATATTTTTGTTGAAGCAAAGAAAGAGGGAGGCAGAAATTGTGATGCGCGCCCTCAAGATTCCCATTATTTTTAAAACGACACCATGAAGAAAGATATGTGTTTTAGGTGAACGCACATATCCCATATATTATTAATCGCAGATTCGATTTCTTTCGGGTCGTATCCTGAGAGAGGTGTACGATATGTCTCATCACCGTACATGTATGATCTTCTTCCAGGCTTGTCTCTTCCCCTTTATATCATCATGCCATTACAGTAAAGATAGAATTAAATGGACTCATTATTAATGAGTGTGAATCTCAAATCTTTTGCCACTCTCCTTTTTTGCGTCAACAATCTAATGATTCTTTTTGCTAGACAACAATTTAATGATTGATTTGAACCAAGCAATAGTTATTCTAACTAGCTTTTTTGGTAATAAAAAATTTATTCTAATAAGTAGTAATTAAAATTCAACGGTTAATTAGTTTACAAGTGCTGAAACATTTAATTTTTTTTAAAGAGTCTTGGAAGTGAGAAGATTAAAAAGGGAGGCATAAACTAAACCATCATTCAATATAATGATATATATATATATATATATAATCTATTATATACAAAAAAACAACATCATGATAAATTATAAATAATGCAATTTACCTTAAACTCTATGTATATATAAAAAATATTTCTTTAGGTAGATATAATAAACTAAAAATAATTTGAAGGAACTAAATCTATGACTATAAGTTAGTGAATTATATATTTTGTATTGGGATCAGTAGAATCAACCCCATTCGGAACTGTCAACGAAATCCCCAAAGCCAGGTTGTATTCGATGTACGTAGCATTATATTGTAGATCCTTCCCAGATTCAACATTGAGAAAACTACACAGTACATTATTGTCCTTTTTATATACTATATTTCTCGTGATTGCTTATATAATATAAATTCTTGTCTTTCAAAGCTGTAACTGACTTGAATTTTTCCTAGGATGCCATCATGTTCTGAATATATAATTCAGCTTTCAATCATGCAAAATGGATTAGCGCTTCATAGGAATAATATTTTATTTACATGATTAGGGTGTCTAGACACACAAACACAGAGTTTATTTTGAGGTAATCTTTCATAGGTTTGCTTAATTGCGATTACGTGTAGATGTAGGTTGTGTGCCTAAACAACTGAGTACTTAGAGTTTTTTACCGCTATGAGGCTAAAAAAAATGTAAGAAAAAAAAATATAATTTTAAATTTTTGTACTTTACTTAAGTTTTATTACAGGTCTCTGCATTTTTTTCTTGATATTCAAGGTCTCTATATTTTTATTTTTTAGTGCTATAGATCCTTATGACACCACTAATAAAGGAACCTAAAATAATAAAAAATAAAAATATAAGGATTTAGAATATAAAAAAAAGTGTAAAGATATATAACAAAACTCGATTAAAGCGTAGGGATTCAAAATTATATTTTTCTAAAATGTAATAAAGAGAAGGTAAAAGTATTGTATGTTGTTGGTTTTCCGAATTCATTGGTTATATATTTCATGAAATCAATTTGTTATTTGTTATTACAGGGAGGTTAGAATTCATCCCACCCTTATTTACGTCGCTGTGTTTGATAGAATAAAGATATAGATTCAATTTCCTATGTTATAATATTTATATATGCTCTCCTCTTTCTTTATTCTTTTGATGATCATATTATATGTCATGTTTAGTCAATTTATAATTGCAAAGAATTTAGATTTGTTTTATCTAGCACAACCAAACACGTCTTCGTATCATGACTCATTAATTAATAAAACGATTTGCTATAAATTTTATAACAACAAATAACTTATCTCACTGGATAGGTTTAATTGTATGAATTGCACAATATCATTATATTTTTCAACAATCAAATATTTGAATATAATATATTAATATTAACTAAAAGATCTTTTTAATAATTTTATTGAGGTTGTATTTGGATGGAATGATTTATTGAGTTAGAAATTTGAATTTAAAATCTCATATAGTTTGAAATTTTACATTTAAAATTTATAAATTCTAATTTCTTTGTTTAAATGATATAAGAAATTTTAAATTATAATATTAAAATCTTTTATTTGGATCTTAATTAAAATTTTAAAATTTAAATACTATATTTAAATTTAAAAGTAACTCAAACAATGTTGATGGTTTGATCTTAGTCAAACTCAATGGTAAAATTTGAATTTAAATCTATACACTTTTTATTATCCAAACAATATATTTGACTTAAATTCAAATCTCTATGCATCTAGACATATATAGCATGAGTGTTTTTTTATTTGTTTCTTTACTATTTTTCACGTGACCCAATTTTATGTTCCACCCAACTTATTAGTACCTTCAATTGCCTCCTTTGTTATATATATATATACATGTCTAAACTAGATGACTGTCTACTATTTTTTCCTTAATATAGAGGCCACAACAATTTTTTCTTGCATATGAACATTACGAATCTTATCTTTTCTTTTTCGATGCTCACATATACATCCATCTCAGCACTATCATGTATCTTCCAATTTGCTATAAATTTTATATTAGACGAAAAAAAAAATATCAACTACTTAGCTTGATGAACTAATTGTAAAATTAATATATATAATTTTATTTGATAGGTATCTTCCTCCATACACGTCATTTTTACCCGTGAAGAAGGAGGGGAAGGATGGAGAGGGCAATAGCGACCAGAGGAGAAGAAAGAGAAGAGGAATATTAGTAGAGAACATGATAATGTCACAACTCTCCTATCTAGTCATCTTCATCTTCATCATCTGCATCACTGAGAGCAAGGGTCTCACTCAAGATCCTCTCAACTTCAACGTCCTCAACATAGTGATTGAAGTCATCAGGTAATTAATCAACAATCTCTTCACTTTAAGACATTCAAATTCATCAATATATAACACTAATGCAGTATATTGTGTTCAGATGCAATTGGGGGATTTAGATTTGGGAAACTTAAGCACCATCTAATTAAAAATATTAATTAGATATAAGGATAATAGAATTACGGAATAATTTCAGGAAAAATACTATGGTTCTTTATCGGGATTAAAATTTTTCAATACTCATATCTTCCACATTTTCGATAATCTTTTTTAGCATTTTTAATAGTGGGTTTTACTTTTTAAGTAGTCACCTTAGATGTTTTTAATACTCTTGTTTCTTGGTTTCAATACTGAAAAGAATTAAAAATAAGTGTTTTTCACTACTGAAAACATAGAAGATGAGTATTGAAGCTATTTAAAATGATTACTGACAAATTGAAAAACCGAGCACCGAAAAATGCTAAAGATGTGAAAATGTGAAAGTTGAAAATATAGAATATGAGTATTGAAAGAATTAGCTCAATTCCAGTTAAGGATTATGATTGTTTTTTGAAATTTTAAAATCTCAGGATTCTTAACTGTAAATAATGCTTTTAGAGAGTTCTTGAATGCCATTCTCCTTTTAGATTTGGATATTTGTAATCCTTTGTTAATTATTTGAAATGTTGGCTACACTAGCCCTGTATTTTTGTCTTTCATTTTCATTTTTCATCTCTCCATTTTTTTTGTCTTTGAATTATAAATTTAAGATTCAAATCTGAATCTACCAATTCAAACATTGTATAGTGTAATTGAGATTGCGATGCATGTGGATTGAATTGAATGTGCAGTGCATATGGGAATGTGGGGTTTTCCACGGGGTACAGTTGCAAGAGAAGGATAAAGTTGGATGAGTATTGCAAGGACAGGTCAACTGGTTTCGCAGGGAGGTGGAGCCCAGAAGGGAAGAGCATTCTCATGTTGGTTATGCTTTTTGGAAGGCTTAAGAAGTTCAACATGGATGGAGGCCAAGCTTGGATCCTCCTTTGATCACTTATGGATGAGAATGGATCATCTCAAGTTAGAGAAATATTTACATGAATTTTATGAAATTTGTCTTTTTATCAAAGACATAAAAATTTTATGTTTTATTTATAATTGACATCTTTCATATTAGGAAGAGAAACAAGGGGTGGAAGCTTTAAAATTAACAAATGTGAAAGATAAATACTGAAAAGAGTTCACTATAAGAAAAGAAAATATTCACTCTAGTTTTATTTATAATTTACTTTTCAATAATTAAGAAAAACTTTAACATTTATTAAAAATTTAATAAATTTTTAATTTATCTTTATTAAATATTCATATGTTAACAAATATTTAGTGAGGATAAAAGGAAATTAAAAGCCTGTAATAAAAATTTAATAACTGATAATTAAAATTAAAAAATTTCTCTCTCTCAATCTTATACATAGAATTGGAGGATTAACATCGTAACTATGTTTTTTGTTTTTAGTATATACCTCAAACTCATACCAGCTAATGAGATATCATGGGCTAAATATAATGGTGATGACAATTCTAAAAATATGTAATTAAACAATATAACATTAACTATAAGACTCAAGAACCTTAATTACTCTGTTTTGCTTTGCCACAAAATCCCAAGAAAAAACTCACTGCAACTCATAGCTTAAGACGCGAAGGAGATGATCAGCAAAAACAAGTTACAACTTTGTATTGGTTTAATTCATGTCAATATATGTGTCTTGTCTTTTCTTACCAAATCATTGTCCTCAGTCACATGTTTGGATCGCCATATCCTTCTGAGCATAAACCCATTGTGGATTGAAGTAGTCCAGCTAGAGTATATTTTAAAGGGCGAACGAATTGATAATATTTGCTCTTTTTTTTTGGGTGTTGGCCAAGGAAATAATAGATCTTTAATCAATAAAACAAGAATAGACTTATTTCTTCATTCTAACCTCAAGTATAAATTTTATTAAACAAATAAATAGGCATTAATTGGCTATCGACCATAGACAATATACACCAGTCCATTCAAGAATTTCTCGTGAGCTGCGATTTTTACGGCTATGAGCGAGACATATTCTTACTTTGAGTCAAAGTTTCACGTCCACCTGTCTAAAGTTAAATACAATTTTTAATTATTAATTAACCACTAATTAATTTAAATTATTATCCTTGACATTTAATAAAGAAAAAAAGTTAACTATAATAAAAGAAAGTATTCACTCTAGTTTTATTTATAATTCATTTTGAATAAAAAAAACTTTAAAATTCATTAGCTCTCCCTAAAGATTTAATAAATTTTCAACTACACATATTTCTATTAAATATACATACTTTAATTAATTATGTACACTCTCTCCCTAACATTTAATGAGGGTAAAAGGAAAAACTTGTAATAAAAATTCAATGACATGTCTGATAATTAAAATTAAAAAAAAAAATCTTCTCACTCCCTCCCTCGCTTTCTTTGTTTTATAAATAGAAATGGAGGGATTATATCATAATCATGCTTTTTATTGTTTTAGTATTTACCTCAGACTCATGCCAGAATGATATATCATAGGCTAAATGGTGATGAAAATTTTAAAAATATATAATTAAATAATATTCTTTCCATTAAAAAATGTAAGATACTTTTAACTGAATCACATTTCAGTAAAGTAGTTAGTTATTTTCAAACTAATATCATTTTTTATATTTACTCATATTTAATAGGGTATTTTACTTTAAAATAAATGTAAAGTAATTTAGTTATTAGAAGTACTTTTTAAAAAAAGTATATTAATTATATCTCAAAATAGTAAAAATGTCTTATATTTTTTTACATCTAAATCTTTAAAAAATGTCATACATTATATTTTTAAATGGAGTGGTATAAAATTAACTGTAAGACTAAAGAACCTTAATTACTCTGTTTTGCTTTAAAATGCCGCCACACATGCCCAAGAAAAACTCACTTCAACTCATAGCTGAAGACGAAGGAGATGATCAGCAAAACCAAAGTCACAACGTTGTTGCTTTAGATCATGTCAATATGACGACGAAGGAGATGATCAGCAAAACCAAAGTCACAACGTTGTTGCTTTAGATCATGTCAATATGTGTCTTGTCTTACCAAATCATTGTCCTGTTTGGATCGCCATATCCTTCTGAGCCTAAACCCATTACGGATTCGAATGGGCTATTTCACGTCCCTCTCGTTTCTGGGTTTCTGTCTTCTGAAACTAATCGAACCCAGAACCATAATTTCTTCAAGCTAATGACCGTTGAATATTGCCATTTTTGTAGTAGTGAAGGCCAAGTAACTTGGACAATTTGTTCACCTCATTGTCTGCCTCCACAGTGTCAAGCATGTCCACTGTTGAAATGGAAGTTTTCTCTAACCCTCAACTTATCGTCATGACCATATTAATGTTACTAGGAGGTGAAGTGTTCACCTCCATGATTGGTCTCTTCTTCATCAGATTGAAGCTCAAAACCCACCAAAACACTGTGACTTTTGATCTTCTTGACCCATTTGAGTTGGAGATGGAGCAAAAAAGATCAGAACCCGATATTAATGATGAGTCATCTGCACTAGGTAGTAGTGTAAAATACCTTGGTTTTGTCGTCTTAGGTTATCAAGTAATTGTCCAAGTCATAGGTATAACAATGGTGTCTGTTTACCTCCCCACTGTTTCGAGTACTAAAAAAGTTTTGAAGAAGGGATTGAAACTGTTCACATTCTGTGTTCACGGTAGTTTCAACATTCTCAAACTGTGAATTCGTTCCCACGAGCGAAAACATGGTTGTTTTTGCTAAGAATTCTGGTCTGTTGATGATTCTGATTCCTCAAATGCTTCTCGGGAACACACTGTATCCTTGTTGCTTGAGATTCTCAATCAGGGTTTTGGGGAAATTTGTGAAGAAAGAGGAAAGCAAGCACCTTTTGATGAAGAAGAATTCGCAGGAGGTCATCGAGTACAAACATTTGCTTAGGAGGAAGCATTCGAGGTTTCTGTTAGTTACTGTTGTAGGGTTCATCGTTGTAGGGTTCATAGTATGGTATGGTGGTTGCATTGGACTGTAGCATTGGAGCGACTCAGCTGGTACGGGAAAGTGATTGGGATAATGTTCGAGAGTTTTAGTTCAAGACATGCAGGCGAATCCATCGTGGATCTCTCCGTCTCATCACCTGCAATGCTGGTTCTATTCGTGGTCATGATGTCAGTAACTTAGTATCCTTTCAACCCATAATCTCACACACACACTCTTCTCTCTCTCTCACTCAATCTTTACAAAGATCCAGATATATGATAGAGTTAGAGTCTGGTTTGTCTAACTTTCTACGTCACTTTTCAAGGAAAAGTGATGTAAATACTCTACATTTTAAGTCGATACATCAAGATCAAGAGGCAAAAAAAAAAAAAAAATGGTATTGCAAAAGAAGCATAAAAATTTTGGATAGACTGGATATATATAGAAAGAAAGTAGGATTTGGAAGAAGAAAAAATAATTTGACAAAAGACTTTTCATAATTAAAAGTTTCTTTTAACTCACCCCTTCATTAATTAATTAATTTCCGGTCAAGCATGAATTTTGAACTTTTGATGAAATCCCATGGATATAGAGTTTGGACACTATTATGAGACGCGAGGATCGGACCTGGAACACTTACAAAATCTAGATCCATTTAATGTCTTTCAAAGATGTGCCTGGCTTGAATTCTCTTAATTAGGATGCATGAATTTGTTCTGAATAATTGAATAATTCAGCTTTCAATTATATACGTTATCCATTATCCAAATATTATATAATGCAAAATAAATTAAATGACTTTCTTGTGCAATGAATTAGCGCTATACCATACATTTTGATATTATTATTTTTTGACTAGAATAATATTTCATTTGCATGATTGGGCATCTATATGGGAGAAATATATAATTTATTTTGATGTTTATCTTCCTGCGTCATATCTCAATATATAGTCTTTCCTTTTTTTAATTATTAATATTCGAAATGGGTCAGGCTTGCGTCTATCAATGCCTTTAACTCAATTAATCATTGGTTATTTTCATAGGACAATCATTGCAAAATGAATAATCATATTCTATAGTATTTAGATTAGATTAGATAATTTTTCTTTTCGACCAATAATTTATTCAACACAATCGACCTAAAGCCAAAATGCAAGCTCTAGGATATGTAGTGGAGTTGATGAAGACATGTATTGTGTTGTGTGCTTAATAAAAAACAATTTAAGCAGAATTCCAAGTAATCTGAAAATGTCGTTTTCTTTCATATGAGTTAAACACAATTATAAAAGTGTAATACAGAAAAGGTAAATTGTGTATGAAGTTAATTTTCCTTCTATGTTGCATGCAATCAATTTGTTGCTGTGGGAAATTAAATTCATTATTCAATTAATTAACATGTCAGTTAATTTAGATAAAAATATAACTACTTAAATTAATTATATACTTAATATATTTTTTAAAATAAAATTTAGATGAATGGATATTTTTATATGCATAATAACTTAACATGCATGACACTGAATCATTGTGATTGCTATTAACACTTTTAACTAAATTCTTAACTTAAAATTTATTCGTTTTAATTTGATCCAAAACAAGTGTAAATATTTTCTAAATTTTTTATTCTGATGCATCTTGATTTTGACACTGTGCACGTGTCAAAGAGATCCAAGGATCAGAAGCAGGAAGAGCAGAGGAAGATTAGCAGAGAATTATGATCATGTCTCAACTCTCATATCTAGTAGTTTTTGTCATAATGATCTGCATCACTGAGAGCAAACATCTCAAGCATGATCCTTTTAACTTCAGTGTCTTCAACATAGTGTTTGAAGTTATCAGATAATTTAAACCAAACAAAAACTATGCATCCAAATTGGAAAACATGCAGGCATCATTGACGTTGTATACATGTGTCACAATAAATTATAGAAATTTGAGTCATAACCTCAACAAATTGAATTGAATGTGTAGTGCATACGGGAATGTGGGATTTTTGATGGGATACAAATGTGAGGGAAGGATAAGTGTAGAGGAGCATTGCGAGGACAAGTCGACCGGTTTCGTGGGAAGATATGGAGCCCTCAAGGGAAGACCATTCTGACAATGGTGATGCTTTTTGGGAGA